ATTTTCACCTAGGAAAAAGAATTTTACCTTTAAATGTTAGGGAATGTGAGATTATATGAATACATAATAACATACTTGAAAGCAAACCCGGAAAGTTTGAAACTTGGCATACTTACATGAGGGAGAAAAATAAATGGATAGCTCCGCATGGTGAAGGATTTTATCTTCCTTTGATAGAAATGCTGCCCTCTCCCGGACCACAACACCCTTCCCTACTGGATTTAAAGAAATAATAAAATTTAAGGTAATAGTCAATAGGCCTTCATGAAGGCTCGGTAAGGATAAAAGCAAGCTGGCAAGTTGAAGTTTTTCCTCTAAACCTCCTTTAACTTTGGTTTGACTTGGAGGTGTGGTTTCTTTCAAGTTTCAACCCTGGACTGCTGGTTTTGGCGTTGAGGTTGCTGGTTGTTTGTGGATTTGTGGATTTCTTTGGATTAGATTATCACTATTATTATTTGTTTTATTTATAAACTTCTTGGCCTGTGTTTTCTTCAATTATTTTGCTGTCTTTTATTTGTAGAACAATTTCTGGGATACTTGATGCCCTTTTTGAGTTGCACAAATAAAATTTCAAGATAGTTCATAGAATTACATTTTAAATTTATTCAAATAGTACTATGAACACCCTTATCATTTCCTATATAAGTTTGAGTAATGATTGCTGATATGCATACATTATATTTATGATGTTACTGCTGACTGTTGTACAAGTATTTATTTTTGCTTTTGCATGGAAATAAATTTTACTATTGCTATTAAAAGTAATTATATTGCAGAAGCCAAGTGCACCCAAAGGATTGGGATTTGGTCCCTTTAATATTCCGCCAGCTTCATGGTAAATTGCCCGAAATTGTTCCTCGCCTTCCCAAACTTGTAGACTTGTGAACTGCATGAAGAAAAATGGTAGAGGAATGTTCAATTTCTATTTGTGGACTGCCTTTATATTTTGAAAGACTATTTAAAAGCATGTGTTTGATAGCTTTATCCAGCGAAATTCCAGTTGAGGAAATTGTAGATTCTGTAATATTGATGCAATGTTTTTTGTATATCCAGTGAAAATTGTTAAGGATTTTTTCATAATTTTATATGATTAAATTTTTAACTTCAATTGACTGCTACGGGATTTGATGGGACAGAATTACTGGGTACAGAAGAAACTGTGATTTTTTTAAAAATCCAGGGAAATTTTAATGTAAAAGATAAAAAATATAGTAAACTGGATACTCACTTTTGACTGCAGAAGCTCAGAAATTGACAATTTAAGGTTATTATTATGTCTTCTCAAATGGATATGAGAGCCCCCACCATCAGCAGCAACAACAGCCGCTACAGCTGCAACCTACTGGTAAATATGATTTGTTGTATCTTCATTTGATTTTATTTTACAATGATGTACTCTGATGGGGTAAATATGACTTTGGCTAGTGAGATAAGGCTTCTTCTTGTTGTTGACCAACTAGTGCAAAAGAGTACAACAGCAACAACAACAATAACAAGTTGCCTTATCCCACTAAGTTGGTCAACAAAAAAAAAATGAAGCATAAGTAGTGAGGGATGAGCCAACCAGCCTGGACTAGTCAATTTTCTGTGCATAATAACTCTTAATGACTTAGTGCCTGTTTGGCTACCAGTTTTGAAATGCTAAAAATCGTTTTTCCATTTTGACATGTTTGGTTAAGATTTCTTTGAAGCAAAGCACATTTGCAAAAGAAAAAATTTCTTCCTTCCACTACGTTTTACTTTTGGCAAACTAACTTTTGTAACTAGAAGTCCCTTTAAAAAACAAACATGCCCTTATTCCTTGGCTTTTGATGAGTATTTGAATGATTATAATTTGTCTAGAAAGAGTCTTACTTAATTCATTTGATAATTTCATGATTTTTGCAAGTTGGTTTCACAGGTGGAGAGCACCATTTTGGTGTGAACTCTGAAACCATTGCTGAGGTGGGATGGTATGTTCTTGGAGAAAATCAGCAGCAGGTGGGCCCATATGCTATCTCAGAGCTGTGCGGTGAGTTTTGGCATCACTTTTATGGACTATTACTAATCTACACGTGTCTAATCCCTGCAAAGTGGTGGTTATAGTAACATTAGTGGATTGTGTTATTAGTGTTTTGAAGTCCAGGAGAAGGAAGTTGAAGAAGGCCCTTTAGTCTAGCAACTGTTTTTGTGGTTTCTTATTCTTGCTTTTGTTGTCACTCCACAAAATTATCGATACCTATGTTCTCATTTCTTGAATTTCAGTTCTTCCATAAGTGAATAGCTCGATTTCAGACTTTCAGGACAGTTGTTGCATGTTGATATCTCTATTTAGCTTTTTTACTTCGCCTGGACAGAGCATTTCTTAAATGGATACCTTTCGGAAAACACACTTGTATGGTCAGAAGGAAGAACTGAATGGCAGCCATTGTCCTCAGTTCCTGAGTTGTGGACAAGAATTTACTCACAGGGATCTGATTATTCAGCTGCAGGTAATTCTTATTCTTATTCTCTATCTCTCTATTTTCTTTTTATTACCTTACTTTGTTCAATCAATCATGGATTTTACTAAGTGACGTACTTTTAATGTCAACCCATGATAATCAAGAGTTTGAGAGATGGCAGAATGAGATAAAGGAAGCAGAAGCACAATTTGAAGGGTCTGAATTTGGATCTGTTTCTGGTGATGTTGGGGCTGAAATTGGAGGTGATTCTGATAGACCTTCCACCCCACCTGAGGGTGAAGAAGAATTTACTGATGACGATGGGACTAAATATAAGTGGAATAAGAATCTTAGGGTTTGGATTCCCCAGGTTGGTGTATCATATCTTTCGTAGCACTTGTCATGGTGATATATTTTTTGATGACATGGGATGTTCTCTATTTTTGCATGAGTAATACCCTTTGCTGAATCTTGGCCTTCAAATTTAGGTTATGTTAAATTTAGCTGGCAAATTCTTGGAACTTGTTGCGCTTTATTGAAAAGGGGGCCCTTTCCTCTAAATCTCTGGGCAACGGCTTCCCTTTGCAATCTTGTATTAATTATCTGAGCGTGTTATTTTAAAATTTGAATTAAGCTGAAGAGAGGTGGCTATCACAAGCTGAGGCCAAGTAATGTGGCACAAAAAATTAGATTGTAGTTTATATTCTTATTTTAACTTGGTTAGTAGTAGTTGTTTTGTTCTTCAAACTTGTTTTATTTCAATCATGTGGTATTTTCTATGTTGTAGTACCCAAAATGTCACCCTTCTAAGCTGAGACCTACATGTTTTGCAATTAATTTTTGTATGCACTTTTCACATGTATGTATTGCAACAGCCGTTTTCATATCAATAATGCCCTTGCATTTGAGCCATGGCAGGGTTGTTGATTCATGAATTTGTCTTTCACTACTTTAACATTTAATAGGAGTACCCATCTGGCAGCAATGATCCTTATGGAGTTGAAGAGATGACTTTCTTGGAGGAAGAGGAAGTTTTCCCCTCGTTAACTGGTTCTGATGCTTCTTTAAAGGATGAAGGTTCAAAACTAAGTAGTTCTATGGCTTCAACAAAGGAAGAAGAAAGTGTTACCGATATGGGAGCTGAAGGAAAGAACGATGGAAAGAGGAAGCTTTCAGATAAGCAAGACGAAAAGAAGGTATTCCACCCTTTTTCATCTTGTGTATTTAAAAAAGCACCCTTTTTTTTTGTGTTGCTTTGAGTTAGAAATGTTTTATGATTTTGGAAACCGAATGATGTCTCTTATGACCTGTGTTCTGTTGCAGGAAGCTAATAAACCGCCTGATAGTTGGTTTGAGTTAAAAGTCAATACACATGTTTATGTCACTGGGTTGCCGGAGGATGTTACCACTGAAGAAGTAAGTCTTAATCATTGTTCTGAACTGCCTTGATTATTTCTTGTTGCAAGAAAGTGGCTTGAGAAATATATTGCAGGTGGTGGAGGTGTTTTCCAAGTGTGGCATTATAAAGGAGGTACTATCTTAATCCTGTGTTATGTTGCTCTCAAGTATTGATGAGCATGGCTTATATTTGTTTAGACATATGTTGCACTCTCGGGGATATTTATACGACAAACTCTATTTACACTACGCATTAACATCCAATTAATGGAAAGTGTGTCTGCAGTGCTTCACAAAATACTGATTAAAATTTGTTTGATGGAAGAGAAAGGAATGTTGACTATCGTGCTTGCCATGTTTTGGTTGCTAGCATCATTTTCATTGTGTCGTATTCTAGGCACATGCTAGCCTATGCTTACAACCAAAAAGTAAGCACATTTGGCTATGCAAATCGCACTAGTTGTCACCACTTACTAGGAGTCCTTAGAGAGGTAGAATGAAAGTGGGTATTATATTTATGTTGGCTTCATGTGAATGTGAGTATTATGATAGGACCCTGAAACCAAAAGGCCTCGAATCAAGCTTTATGTTGATAAAGAGACTGGAAGAAAAAGGGAGATGCATTGGTCACATATCTGAAGGTAACGTTCCTCTTGTTTTGATATGCTTATAACGTACAGTTGTGCATGGTTTTACATTATGTTGGTGTTTACTAGGAACCCTCAGTTGCTTTGGCAATTCAAATATTGGATGGAACTCCTCTTCGCCCTGGTAGCAAGATTCCCATGTCTGTCACCCATGCTAAATTTGAGCAAAAAGGTAGTCATCATTTATTGTTGAATATTTGATGTGATAGTCTCATATTTGCGCACTCACTGACCAGGCATACATATTACATCTAATAAATAGTCTAGTTATTTATTGGGCTTCATTTTGCTTGATGGCTCTTTCTTCAAACTTGCAGGAGAAACATTCATAGCGAAGCAAGTAGATAATAAAAAGAAGAGGAAATTGAAAAGAGTGGAAGAGAAGATGCTTGGCTGGGGTATGTATAGCTTCAGTTTTTGCAAATTGTTAATTTAGTAACTTGTCTGAATTGCTATCTGAACAAAACAGAGGATGTCTCATACGTTATTATTTACGGTGGAGAATGAAACATGGGGGAGGTTGGGAGACATTCCTGCCATTCAATCCCCACGATTGAGCTGAGAAATAAATGAGAAAATAATGTGGATAGAGATCCCAAGATATTAGGGATCATACAATCAGCGATATTTACAGAAATAAATACATGATGAAAATGGAAATGTTTGCAGAATACTATTCCTTATATTCTGCTAACACTATTCAGTTTCTTCATTATTGAAGCCCATTGCTCCTTCTCTGGTTATTTTGCATGAAATCAGGCGGAGATTGTTGGCATGTCAACCCTCCGGGGGGGGTGTCATCCGCTATATTTGTACATTAGAGGAGTCCCAAAAATAACGAGTGAAAAAAAGATTCTGCCTTCTATATCTAGATACTTACAGACCTTCAGTGATATCTAGATATATATGACTTATTCAAAGAATACAAAATAAATAATAAACAACAGAAAAATCTTATGGGTGGTTGTTGTGCTTGTGTACAGGACACCTCAATCCTACAAGCATCAACTTTCTCTTTGATGAAGTAGTGGTCTATCTCCGCATGTTTTGTCCAATCATGATGGATATGACTCTTCACTATTCCAATAGTTGATATTATCACAGAAAACCTGAATTGGGCTTTCAAATTCAATCCTCAACTCTTTCAGAAGTATAAGGTGCTAGATTCCCTCACGTATGTTTTCAACTTCAATCCTCAACTCTTTCAAAAGTGTAAGATGCTAGATTGCCTCACACATGCCAAGTGACTATTGCTTGAAGCTTAGCATCAGTACTGTTGCATGAAACCACAGGTTTCTTTTTGCTTCTCCAAGTCACTAGATTTCCGCACAGAAAGGTGCATTACCTAGTGGTTGACCTTCTTTCCTCAATGTACCTGGCCCACTTCGGAATGCTTGATGATTTTGTATGCTACCTGTCTGGTATTGTGTAAAAGATTGAAAAGCCCTAAGTCATATCGAGCTTTTTAAAGAAACTAAGGTGTAGTAGTGTGAGCACTTTAGGTCATTCTATTCTCAAGGAGCAATCATTTGCAACCAACTCAAGCCAATGATAGACAGATTAAAATTCCAGAATTGAGGTTGGGAGTTTGGGAGAGAAATTAGTTATTTATATTTGATTTTAATATGAAATGAGCGAAGGGAAAGTGTGTAAAATTCAACCAACTGTCAAAGTAGTGTCCCATGATTAGATTCCACCATTTTTATCCTTGTACTTCCTTTCCTTGATTTGGATTCAATTGCCTTCTTCAATTGCTGTGTGAGGCTGTCTCAATTACTATTAAGACCAAATGATAGTGACCACTTAGCATTTACATACAAATCATCCAAGATAGATGCACCAATATGTGATTTAACCCTTGAAGCTAGTCCTAGCTTTTGCCTTGCTTTGTTCATGTTTAATACTTTAAATCGATCTAGATTATGATATTAACTAGAATTTAAGATCTAAACTAAAGTTAATCCCATAGCCAAAGAAAAAGAGATTGAAATGGAAACATATATTCATTCATCAAAATTTTGAAGTATAAACACAAACACTTAGAGTGTGCAACTAGTTCAAGAATTAAATGCACATCCTCTCCTCTTTGGAACATGAATTTCGATCAAGAGGAACAATCTAAAACCTAGAATCATTCATCAATAGCATGGATTGGAGAATTAAAGAAGGAAAAGAAAAGGATTCAAAGCAATTGAGAGCAAGATGAAAGGTTTAGAGGAACCCAAGATGTGGTTTCCTGTTTCCTCTTCCTTGGAAAGCTTCAAGAATCTAGCATTTCATGGTGATTTGATCCTCAGTCTGAGTTGATCTATCTCCAACATGGCTCCCATATCTTCAATATTTGTTTGAGATGAAGAATTGTGGCTAGGAAAGTGTGGGAAAGTGGAGGAAAATGAGAGAAAATTCAGATAAACAAAGTTGAAAATTTTAGAAAAGAGAGGGTAGGTGTGAATTGTAATATGAATTTGTGAAGAATGAGTGAATATGCATTTCTAAACCTCCTTATCAAGTTGTGGTGGAGTAAAATGATGAGAATAGGAAGGGTTTTAGGTGATTAAAACCATAATATCTAAAACCACTTAACAAACTTGGTTAGGAGGTTTAAAAATGAATGTGACTACCATTCAAACTAAGTTAATTTGGATGCACATGTAGTTCTTATAGGATACTCCACACTTGATTAGAACTTGCTAAATACTTCTAAAAAGATGATCAAAGGGTGATGAAGGCTTTGTTGAAATTTTCAATGGTTAGAGTCATTGAAAGTTCCTTGAATCAATCCTTGCATGTGTCATTCTATGATCTTTTTGCTTTCTAGTTTGTCTTTGCAATCCAATTTTTTGGCCATTTAATCTTATTTTAATTTTTTGTTTGCACCTATAATTATTCACACGAGATATCAAAGCATGTGTGTAAAACCATAAAGGGAGAATGACAAAGAGGTCTTTTTATTAATTTAAGTAAGGTCTCAAGTGCTAAATTTTAAAAATTTGCAATTCAATATCTCAATTTTGCATTTGTGTTGTGATGAATTTGAACTTGTTTTTTAAATTTTAACATGATTGAAAAATAAAAAAAAATTTATTTTTCTTGTTAAAATTTGGAATACAAGTGACAAATTCATTACAATGGAGTGGCAAAATTGAAAGATTGAGATGCTAATTCCTAAAATTTGGCACTTGGGACTAACTTGAATTACTTGATCTTTTTGGGACCTCTCTTTCATTCTCCCAATCTTAAATGATAATTTTCAAAATATGACAATTTAGCAGTAATGTCTTATATTGGGAACATTCTAGGATTGATGTCTTTTGATATCTTTTTCTGACCTAGAATAAATTTGAAACTCGAACTTGTTTCTTTGGTTTTAAGAAAACAAAAGATACAAACTAGATGAACATGAATGTAAGCGAGGAGTGTGATCTGGTTCTCACCACCTATAGAGGGACCTTTGGCAGCCTTCGATTGGCCCAACCCTAGAACACTGTCTCCATCGGCAACTTATGTGAGCCACACATGCTGAAGTTTTGTTTGGTATCAGAAGGTGCAAGGTGGTGTGTGGTAGTGCATGCGAGGTTTGGCTTGATGGCAATGCCTTCCTTTGATGGTGTGGCATTTTTGATAAGATTCTGATGTTCTCAGGTTTTGGGGGGTCTCTTCAACTTTTCTTTGTCATGAGCTCCTCGTTCTGTTTGAGCTTTTGGGTCCTTCAGAAAAAGATGCTAGTTTGGGAAAAGATTGGCTCATGGTGGTCCAACGTGTGATGTGATCGTGTTGACTGGTTCTGTTCTCCCTCTTCTCCTTGGCTTTTGCCAAGGTTAAATTTTGGCCCTTTACTTCAAACATTGAGTCTATTAAGTCTTTCAAGCTGTTGGGTTTTAATAGTCTTGCATTAGCCTTCACCTCTTCTTGGAGCCCATTAAGAAACATGCCCATTAGAGTCTCCTCAAATACATCCTCTAGGGTGCTGATAACATCCCATTAAGAAACATGCCCATTAGAGTCTCCTTGGATGCATCCTCTAGGGTGCTGATAACGTCTCAAACTTTTCACTATATTCGAATATAGTCCCCTCCTGTTTCAATGTTGTGATGCGCTGGTGATTGTTAGTCTGAGAACAATGGAATTGCTTAATCACTCTAGCTTTGAAGTCTCTTCAACTTGCCATGGTGCTCGCTTTAGTCCACTAGTACCAATTCAATGCCTTCCCTTCCAATCCTACAACTGTAGCATCCATTTTCTCAGCTTTAGAGATTCCATTGATCGAAAAATGCCTTTCTAGGTGAAAGGTCCATCCTATAGGATCATGACCATCGAATAAAGGCATTTCTAGATGTTAGTCCTTCTGCCCTTCTTTATCTCCTACCTCCTTAACTGTCTCTTTGTGTCGATCTTCACCCTCTCCCTCTTTTTTTGGTGGCAATTCATCAGTATTTGGGTCCCCAGTGTGCTCTTCTATGTTCTCGAGATTTTGTTCTCCTGAGAGTTGTTTGAGGTTAGTGAGAATGTCTTTGTTTTGCTCCTGTAATTGAATGAGTCCTCTGCATTGTGGTTCTCTCCTCACAAGCTACCTCATTAGTTTTCTGTAACTCAGCCACTTTCCTGTCCTATTTAACCCCTGTAAATCATTCACTGATTTCTCCAAGCTCTCTAATCTGGCCTCCATTCGGGTGGTCACCATCCACAGGATCAACCTGCTTTGATACCAAAATTGATGGAACCCAGAAAATATGTCTATTATACTTCATTAACAAGTCAGTTACAGCCTCTTCTGTGGAGAAAAGGAAGAGGAAAATGGATAAATAACTAAGTACATCAGTGAAGGTAGCAGCCACAGCAAACCAGAAGAAACAGAAATAAACGATAGAAGAAACACTCCTTGACATTTGAGAGGTCAGGCGCTCTCCCTCAAAACAAAGCCACTGTCTGAATGATCTTCATTTAGGGACACTAACCTAGATAACATCTTCTGTCTTGTACTCATTGGGCTTTGTGCTTTTGTCTTGATCTGAATCAGAAACCTTATCCTTGTATGGCTTCTTTGGAAGGTTAGTGGGCTTCTTTCTCTGATAAACACGGCCTCCTTGTACATTGGGCTCATCAGAATCTTGTCTAAGTTATCCCTTGTAAGGACTTTATCATCCACTCAGACTATTAAAATGTTAATCTTGCCATATGCGGCTTGTTTAGTAAACAAGGTACGATCACTGGACGCCTTGGCTTACAATAAGCATATCCAAAATTTGAAACTCATCTCCCTAATACTTCTTACAACCTGCCTACAATATTATCTTAGTCTCCTAAAGCATAGTTACACTTGATTGGACCTTGGATATAACATGGTTGACTCACTCTATCTTCCCATTATTGACCATTCCCAAACCTTGAGCATTCTATCTTATAATTTTCAGTTGACATGATTTGTTCACCTGCCTCCCCTTACTCCCTCCATCACACAAGAGTCTCAGGGGACTCCAGTACTTATACCTGACCAAAGTAGGGTCGAGTTCTTGGTTAAAATAAATTTTAATTCACTCATCTAGTTCATGTAACTTACCCAATTTGAATTATTCATATATATTCATATATTTATATGTTGCTGCTGCTGCTGCTGCTATTATTATTATTATTAGTATTTATTGATAAAACTCCTGTTTAGTTAGGAAGCTTTTTACTTGGGAGCTTTTTTGCTATTAGGAAGGAAGTCTTCGCTTAGCTAGGATGCCTATATGGGTTTCATGTTGAAGTAGGCTGCTAATACATTTAGGTTCCTTCCTTATATGTAGCTCTTTGTTTCTTTTGGAAGGAAAGATTGAATAATTATTTTGAAAATTTTCTCAGTTCAAGCTTAAGTTTCTTTATATGAATCTCATTTAATTCTTCACCTTTAACCTGTTATTTCAGTAACTCATCTAAAGAAATCTATTTAACATTTGTTAGTTTTATGATTTATTTATATTTTGTCTGATTTGAGGTTTGAACATGTAAATTTATTATTGATTTTCTTATTTATAATGCAATTCTGATAGTGACATGATTCTTGTACTATTGCTCAGGTGGTCGTGATGATGCAAAAGTTTCAATTCCAGCCACCATCATCCTTCGTTATATGTTCACACCCACGGAATTAAGGGTTGGAGTTACTTTCATATGCTGCTATAATTCTTTATACCATGCAATTAAAAAGAAAAAAAAAAAGCATTATGATGGAACCTTGCTGAATATTGAATGAAAAAGTACAAGAATATGGTTGTAGAAATAAATGAAAGGGGAAAATCCTGTGGTTTATTAATGCTCAAATAAACTGAATAATTGTTACAAGACACTTACTAATTCTGGCCAATACTCTATTTCCCACTTGATCAGTACAAACAATCACAATAACTGAAGTACAGAACACAGGACACGCTTGTAACAGCACACACTCACTGGCATTCGAGAGGCTAGACTCTTCTCACCATACATCAATGCACGAAAAGGCATCTCTCTCCCTTCCTTACCCTGCATGAGACTACTAGTACTCAAAATATGGCCGTCATACAGCCCCTACTCCCAAAACAGGCATCAACACATCACTATACTATGACATACTGTTCCTGATGGCTAGGTTCCAAGAATAAACAGCTGAACCACATAGTGTTCCCCATTAAGCCACTCTTCCTCACTAACTTCCTCTTAAAGGTCTTGGTAAAATCATGAGTTCTATGACATTATTGGTAAAATCAGTGTTTCACCATTGCCATGCTGGAAACTTGCTATATCAGTGACCATACCCTTGCATAGTATGGAATAGGGCTCCTTGATACTCATCTTCCTGATGAAGTGAACTGCTGAAATTTGACATTCCAAAAATCTCTTGCTATTATTGAGTGTTGATGAATGTTTTAGTTTAAATGTAAATGTTCAGATTCCATCTAAGTTGCACCCTATTTTGTTTAGAGAGGAATTGGAGGATTTTGTGGGATTAGTCATTCATTGGGTGACTCTGATGTGTCCATGTAAAGCACTATTGATATTTTTCTGCTTCTCACTATTGATGGTTCACACAGTAATGTTTCTATTACAATTATGCTGGACAGCCGGAGAACCATAACAAATAGGATTTTCGTTTTCCCTTCCCTGTAGACAATTTTGAAGCTTCCATCTTGGTACAGTTACTTCTCATGCTAACATCTGATAATTCCTAATATGCAGGCTGATGAAAATTTACGTTCAGAGCTAGAAGAAGATGTTAAAGGGGAATGTGTGAAGCTTGGCCCTGTGGACTCGGTGAAGGTAATTTATTTTAGGAGCAAACTTAGTTACTTCAACTCATATTATAAAGGTACTTTTGTTCCCATCAAATTAGAACAGGTGGGATTTAACTTGAGGACTAGAACTTAATATAAGCTTAAGTATATCTATTTATTAGTAGAAAATTTATTGACAAAATGAATTGAGATTCTTGTTAAATCTTTCCTTGTACCATTAGCAGTTGAACCGAATTAAAGATTAACCGAGACAAAATTTCTCTAGTTTGAAAAGTAATGGGATGACATTGTTGCAATTGAAACTAAGAAAATGATTGGACGAGGAAAAATGGAGAAGCAGGAGGAGAAGGAGCTTGCTTGTTGGGTAATTTTTTGAGGACGGGAATGTCAAAGGATTTTCTAGAAACCTTATCCAAAATACCCCAAAATCCTGTGCTATATATTTTTTAATTCCCCCTTTGGAGGAAAATGGATGGTAAATTATTATTATTATTATTTTTTTATCATCTGCCACTCAATTTTTTAAAATTTTCATTGCCAAGATATTTAGTCTGCATAATTATTCTTTTAACTAAATAGTTGTAAATATATATTATAATCATGTACTTTTATTAAATTTTGTTTTCCTTGTGACTTTAGCATCCAAAGAAGGGGATATTTAAGTAATCATTTAATACTCTTTTTATTTGTTCTCTCTTGGATTCTATCCCTTCTCAAATGTACTATTCAACCATTAATACATCTAAAGACATCTATTTCTTGTATTAGTAAATAGTAATTTTCAAATGACAGGGTTCTGACAGCTAGTAGAAGGCATGATGAAATGTTCTGATCTAGAAATTACTAATTAAATTCAGTCAGTAGTTTATTGGATAAAGAATATGTTAAATAAAGGATGAAAAAACTGAGCGGGCAATCTATCTTTCCTTATTCAAATAAGAGGCTAAGTACACAGGAATAGAGAAGGAGAGAGGGAGATGGCATACAATCTCTCCACAAAAGGAAAAAATATAAAAGATATTAAGCCTATAATCTCTAAGATGCTGATCAAGATTGCATACAATCCCTCTGTTTACCTACCGTTTGGTCGTACATGAATTCTTTTAATTTATTAACGAATAAAAAGTACCATTCTTTCTTTGGGTTTCCTTTTCCTTGCTCGAGTTAATGATGATTTTGCCTGCAGATTTGTGAGAATCATCCTCAGGGTGTTGTTTTAGTGAAATTCAAGGATAGGAAGGATGCTCAGAAGTGCATAGAATTGATGAATGGGAGATGGTAATTTGATCATTACCATTTTTTTTTTGGAGAAAGTTTCGTAACATCTTTGAGCAGCATAGTCTACTTGGACATGATGGCTCCCTTGGTTGATCATCCACTGTTAGACATTTTGATGGAAATTATATTTGATTTAATTTAGGGTTTATTAAGATTTGATTTAGCATTTAGGGTTTAATATTATTTCTTTAGTATTTTGGATTTATTTTAATTTTTAGTATTAGCTCAAATAAAATAAGATATCTAGACTAGTTAGATACGTTATCCTTATTTTTAATATTATGATTTGATTTTGATTTTGATTTTGATTTGTTGTTGTTATTTTTATTATTTCCGGGGCTCTATAAATATCTCTAGGGTTCTTTATTTGTATTCAGTTTTGACATAAGCATAACAATTATATAGTTTTCTCTTTCTCCTCCTCTCTCTCTTCCCTCTCTTCTGCCCTTCATCTATTATGGAAGTCAACATTAGGAAAAGTAAAATTTTATATGTATACCAATGATGGGGTAGAATTGTCTAAAAGTGATTTTTAGATAGTTTAGAAATTTTATAAAGAGATTTATTTTGTTAAGATTTTATAAAAAGCAAACATTTTTTTCTGTTTGGTTATGATAAAAAAAAGTAATTATTAGTTAGTTATTTTAAATTTTTTGATACTTATCTTGATTTCTGTTGTATAAAAATGATTTCTTATTTATTTATTTTAAAATTTTATGATATCTTCTTGTATTCCACATTTTTTAAAACATTTTATCATTTATTGTATCATCATGAACATGCAAAATCATTTTTTTTCCCCAAAAAATAAGATAGAAAACAGATTCTGACTATCAGTTCTATAATTTCTTCATTTTTGCAATTGCCCATGTCTTCCTGATCTCGTTCAATTCTCACCTCTCTCTCATCTTTTTTAACTTGTTTCTTATTCATTGTGTCATTCTTTTCCTCGTTTCTTATTGTCAGGTTTGGCGGAAGACAGATACATGCCAGTGAGGATGATGGTTCAGTTGATCATACCGCTATCCGGGATTACGATGAAGATGCCATGCGACTGGAGCAGTTTGGCGCAGAACTTGAAGCTGACTGAGTTTAATTCGCTTGATCTGATTTTTACCTTAGTAACTCCTTATTCGAGCGAGACTTCCTGAGATCTTGACTTTTCACTTTGGTATTAATCTATTGGATTAGTCAGAGTTGTAGCTTCCAGTTCTTATTTTCTCAACTTTATCTACTTTTCTGTGTAACATGGGTTTTCAATCGGCAGGTTCATGCCACATTTACACTCATTTGCACACTGACAAATGTGTGCTATATTGCTAGCAGGATTTTTATTTTTGCTGTTCTCAAAGAAGGTACAGAACTTTGTATATAGCGGGCGCTTTCTTTGGGCACGGTGATGTCAAAAGAAGCATTTGAGGCTCATGTTTAATTGTTTTCAAATTAATTTTCTTTAAACCAGTACAATTTTGACAACATAACTAAATTTCACAAATGTTGGAGTTTATTTAGAGTGAAATATTTTGATTTTTGTATTTCATCTGAAGTATAGAGCTGCATCACTGCTACAGGGTGTCATTGATGCGTGCAGATAAACTGGACAAAAGCTATTTGATGGAGTCCGAATCTTGTTTGTGTTCCTGCCATTTGTTATGGGATGATTGAGGAGGATAACTGATTAATCGATTTTTTTTCAGAGACAACGTGTAGTACTTTACGTATTAGTGACTTGCCTTTCTATTTCTTAAAAAAAAAAAAAAAGCGTGGGAGATAATGTATATTTTTTTGTTTTGGATAACGAGGATATTTGCAAGAAAAAGAGAACTTCAAGCTAAAGTTTCAACAAATAGCAGAAAGCTGGAGTTCAACTGTGTTGCATCCAATGATGTGTTTTTTTGAACATTTTCAATGGAGATGTCTTCTGTGATGGAATTTTGTGGCGAGTTTAGTTTGTATCCTCCATTGCAAGTGAGGATGAGAGATCTTAAGTAAGAAGAATCTCCCAAATGTTCCACCATGATATTCTTAATCCAATAGCACTGGATGCAAGGATTCACGAATTATTCTGCTGGTGAAGTTGGAGAACTTACAAAAAAGGGCAAGCGATCCTAATGATTAAGGTAGATATTGACAGAACAGAGAATTCTTCTATTTATGAAATTTTTGCAGCCTTACTTCACATTTTTGAAATCTCATATCTAAGTAATTAGATTCAGAATGTTGCTTTGCATGTTGTCGAATCAAAGGATTTGTAGATTATCTAGAAGCATTGCCAGGGGGTGTCCATTTACAAACTTCCTTGAGAAATTTGAAATTGTTTTGGAACTAACGCACAATCTATGTGGAAGAGAGCTAGTGACCTTCATGTAAGGCCTCATTCCCTTTCTGCTTAATGAGATGAAGTAAAGTAGATATACCTTCCAATATGTGAAGTTGGTTATCACGACACAGATTCTTGGAGGTTGGTTGAAGCCAATGGAGAAAATCTTAAATTCTGGTGATTGTGGATCTGATAGAAAAAGAGCCAAACTTGGCAGCTCTTATAAGAGGACAGTCATAAAAAAGGTGTTGTATAGTCTGCATAGTCACATCCGAAAACACAGGAAATAGTGTTATTGAGATGATGCGCCCTCAAAACAATCCTAGTCGGTAGAGCTTCATGCACTAGCTTCCATATGAATAAAAGTGTTTTGTATGGAAGATGAAGACTCCAAAGTGCAGTCCAAAAGCCAGAATTAGTAGTACTGTGGTATCATTATGGAGAATGTTGAAACCCTCATTTACAGTATGGATGCCTTTTCCCCATATTAACTTATCAATACGGCTGCTATAGGAAATAGGCATCTTCAGAACTGCTATAGGAAATAGGCATCTTCAGAACAGCTCCAGCATAAACGTCATCATAGATACTCTTCACAAGAGAAGCATTCCATGCGGTAGCAGTCTAAGGATTGGGGTTTTCATTGATTAGATTTACTACCTTAGATTTGTTTAGATCATGCACCAAATTCAGATTGGAAGGAGCCTTCCAATTTTGTCAAAAATGGATAAGGACTCACCATTTTTAACTTGCCAAGATAGATGATCTATGATTAGGTTACCATATTTTCAAATTCCTTTCCAAAACCATGAAACATGGTAGGGAAATTTAAAATTGCAGGTGCCACAACTATTAAATATACTTTTGTTTCGAAGTATTTCTCAAAAGCGAATGTTCCTATCTATTCATTCTCCTCCAAACTTGTTTAGCAAGAGCCAAATTCATTTTCGTAGTATTTTTGTGCCCTAAACCACCATCTTTGAGAGGAGAAAAGAGGATTTCTTTCCTGGGCAGAGGCATGTTGCGTTAAGAATTTTCAATACACAAAAAAAAAAATCACCAATTTAGCATCAATTGTTGTGCATAATTCCTTAGGCAATCTAACACATGAGAGTGTGTAAATGTTTGAGGCTGAAAGAAAAGACTTGATCAAAGTGAGCCTGGATAATTGAAAGAGAAATTTTGTCTTCCATGAGACAATTCTCTTATCAATGGCTTCCAGAACTTTAATCAAATATTTGAAATTTGTCATGTCCCAAATCAATCCAGGTAACCAAGTATTTTCCAAAAGAGTCTACTAATTGAATTCCCAAGTAATTCGAGATTTCTTGTTTCAATATAGATTCAACGTTAGGACTTAATAGCATGATAGACTTTTGGGAATTTACTTGTAAATTAGACCAAACACTAATGCTATGTTTGGATACACATGGATTTGAATTTGAACTTGAATTTGAGCCAAATCCATTATTTAAATAATTAAAAATATATGGATTTGGATTTGACCTAAATTCAAATCCAAATTCTTCCTTAATCTCTTTATAATTTGAAATTTTTTTTAAATCCCTATTATTTGAAAACCTAACTCAAACTCTTTTGTAATTTGACCCAAATGCATGAAGGCTTAATCGACTTGCCAACAGCAATTGGATCAAACCACCAAAGTTGATGAAAACAAACTGCCACCATTGATCGGGATGGGACGACTGACTTTCATCGGGACTAGACCGACGACAACTACGGGGACCAGATGGCTAACTTCGACTGGCATTAGACTGATGATGGTGGGGACCATACGACAGGCTTCCATTGGGACATAACTCATGGTGATGGTGGGGACCGGATTGACGGGGATGATGGGGATCGGACAGCATACTTCCACCAAGACAGGGCTGACAACGACGATGGGGACCGGACCAATGAGGAATGGATGACTGACATCTACTGGGTCTAGACTGATGGCAACAATAGGAACCAGACTGTTGACTTTCACTAAGACCTAACCTACGGCAATGACAAGGAATGAAAGTCCAACTTTCACCGGGAGAGGACCGGACGTTCACCTTTTGTTGCCATCACTTTAGTTTGGTCGTCATCGTTGTCAGTCCAGTTTGGCTAGTGAAAGTCAGCCATCCGATCCTCATTGGTCTGGTTTGATCTTGATGAAAGTTGGCCATCATGTCCTCATCATCACCATTGGTTTCATCCCAGTAGAAGTCGATTGTTCAGTCCCCATCATCGCCGTTGGTCTAGTATTGATGGAAGTCAGCTGTTTAGTCACCGTCGGTCTGGTCTCGATGGAAGTCGGTCATCAAGTCCCCATCATCGCCATCAATCTTGTCATTGTGGAAGTCGACCGTTCGGTCCCTGTCATTGCTAGTACCATAGTCCCAATCAACTTTGTTTGTCTAATTCTATTGGAAGTTGGCCATTCAAATAATCGAGTTTGACTAATATTTTAAGTTTTTTTAAATTCAAATATAGAATTTAAAATTTAAAATTTTACTTTAGATCCAAACAAGGATTTTAATATTGTAATTTAAAATTTTTTATATCACCCAAACAAAAAATTTAAAATCTATGAATTTCAAACGTAAGATTTCAAATATAAGATTTTAAATTTAAATTCCCAACTTAAATCCACCTATCCAAACACAACCTAAAGGTATTGATGATTAGTTGAATGGTCACAAGTCCCCTTCTTGTGTATTCACAAAAAAAAAAAATTGTAGAATCATCTACATAAAAAAGATGTGAGACCAAATAAGAGTTTTGGCAAACCTTGATTCCCTTGAAAGAACCTGACTGTTCATGATGAATGAGCACACATGAGGGAACATTAGAAGCCAGAATAAGTAAATATGAAGATAAGACGTCTCCCTGTCTAATACCGTTTTGGGGGACAATTGATTGTGTTAATCTATAATTGAAAATTATCTGTATTCTACAATGGTGACACATTGCATTAATATATTGATCCACTTAGTGGTAAAGTTCATACACTCCAAGACTATCTTTAGGAAAACCCAAGATAGCTTATCAAAGGCTTAAGACCAAATAAGAGTTTTGGCAAACCTTGATTCCCTTAAAAGAACCTGACTGTTCATGATGAATGAGCACAAATGAGGGAACATTAGAAGCCAGAATAAGTAAATATGAAGATAAGACGTCTCCCTGTCTAATACCGTTTTGGGGGACAATTGATTGTGTTAATCTACAATTGAAAACTATTTGTATTCTACAATGGTGACACATTGCATCAATATATTGATCCACTTAGTGGTAAAGTTCATACACTCCAAGACTATCTTTAGGAAAACCCAAGATAGCTTATCAAAGGCTTAAGACCAAATAAGAGTTTTGGAAAACCTTGATTCCCTTGAAAGAACCTGACTGTTCATGATGAATGAGCACACATGAGGGAACATTAGAAGCCAGAATAAGTAAATATGAAGATAAGACGTCTCCCTGTCTAATACCGTTTTGGGGGACAATTGATTGTGTTAATCTACAATTGAAAATTATCTGTATTCTACAATGGTGACACATTGCATTAATATATTGATCCACTTAGTGGTAAAGTTCATACACTCCAAGACTATCTTTAGGAAAACCCAAGATAGCTTATCAAAGGCTTAAGACCAAATAAGAGTTTTGGCAAACCTTGATTCCCTTAAAAGAACCTGACTGTTCATGATGAATGAGCACAAATGAGGGAACATTAGAAGCCAGAATAAGTAAATATGAAGATAAGACGTCTCCCTGTCTAATACCGTTTTGGGGGACAATTGATTGTGTTAATCTACAATTGAAAACTATTTGTATTCTACAATGGTGACACATTGCATCAATATATTGATCCACTTAGTGGTAAAGTTCATACACTCCAAGACTATCTTTAGGAAAAACCCAAGATAACTTATCAAAGGCTTTAGATAACTCAAGCTTCAGAGCACCAAATTTTTTCTTTTACCTCAAGTAATATGAATTTGGTGAACAAGATTAATTGCAACTAAAATATTATTAGTGATGAGTCTATTAGGTAGATAAGCACTCTAGAATGGGGAGATTAGGCTAGGAATCACTTGCTTGAGCCTGTTCGTAAGGACTTTTGAAATAATTT